CTAAGTAATGCCTAAGACAATACCGGCCCCTTTAATAGGAAAAATGTATAAGGGAACTTGAAGTGTATGTTTTTGGAAGGAAATAAAGACTTGCAGGCAAAATGCTTCACAAAGTATATGGGCGTCGTTACCAACCATCACTCAAAAAGGTGTAATGGGTTGTGTCAGGAGATGCAAATGCTTAGCCAAGCATGGTTGATAATGTTGTGGGAATTGCCTATATTAATCAACACCACAATAGAGACCCAATTGGCAATGCCTTAAAACTTCAATGTTTGGGGTAAGGGCAAACAGTGAAGGCTTGAGGGGACAAATGAAAATGCAAGGTTGTATCATTAGTTGAGAGGAGTAAAGGATCAATAAGGGGTTTAGATGTAGGGGAATCTTCTTCATCAATAACAAAAGGAAACGAGAAGATGAACACTTATGGCTATTGTAACCCAGAAAATTTCGATCTTACGACCTATGGTTTGGACTACCGTTTTGTAAAGTCTCATTAATTAAGGAATGCTCAGAGACCAGACTAACCCCTAATTAACATTTTTTAAAATAGGTTCATGGAGTCGTCACCAATGTTTTGCTCAAAACATTGAAAAAATAAAATATTTTTGAAAATGCAATAATGGCCTTAATAACCAAAATTGGGTTCGGGGGTCAGTTACGTGTAGGGTTTAAAGTTTTGATGTTAACAAACAAATAAGTTCATGATTAATGGTATAAAATTTTTTAAAATGACTAAGACGAACCTTCTAAGTGTCGCAACCCGAAAATTTTCAATCTTGCGACCTATGGTTTAGACATTCTTTTGAAAATCTCATTAATTAAGGAATGTCCAGACACCAGACTAATCCTTAATTAATAGTTTTGAAAAATAGGTTCTTGGACTCGCTACCAATGTTTTACTCAAAACATTGAAAAAAAAAGGTTTTTAAAAGTCTAATAATGGCCTTGATAACCAGAATTGGGTTCGAGGGTCGGTTACGTGTAGGGAAAGTATTAAGCACCCCTACAGCGCCCTAAATCGGTACCCTATGATGAAGCTAGCATAATAAGAATTAATAGTTTAAATATTGTATCCCTTTATTGATGATTATTTATATACATAAAATTTAAATTACCCGATTTACCCTAAAACATCTACATGATTACTCTTTTTATTATTTAGAACAATATCGGTTAAAATGAAGAAATAGAGGGAGAGAGAAGTGTTTATTGAAGTACCTCTTGACCGAGCTTTGTTAGATCTTCAAGTATGGAGACTCTTAGGTGCTTTTTGGCTACCTAACACACTACATGTACCTCACAAAATCTCAAGAAATATAGGAGGAGGGAGAGAGAGAAATTTTGAGTTATATAAGACTTCCTAGATGAATTTTTTTGACCTCGGGAGCAATGCCCGAGTTTGCTATTTATAAACATCAAAACTGACCAGAACGGCCTGTTCTAGTTTTAGATCAGCCCGTTCTGGGCCAATTTGTTAAGGCCAAAATTTGAATCTAGAACGGCCCGTTCCAAAATCAGAATGACCCGATCCAAATTTGAATTTCGCTTATAACAAACTATGTCGAAACGCCCCATTCTGAATTGGGAACGGCCCGTTTCGACATAGTATTTCTAAGCCCTTGTTATGAGTTTGGAACGACCCATTCCAAATTGGGAACGGCCCGTTCCAAGCTACTAAATCACCCTTGTTGGGTTTTAGGCCTTTTGATTTCATGTCGTATCATTTTTGTGCTTCCAAGAGCTCCTTTTCTTCATAATAAAAGTCTATTTCTTTCTTTGCGAGTCTAGACGAAATTAGGTGTCTACAATAACCTAAAAAATATTTCTCATCGCAATTATAACAAAGGCCAACAACGCAACATTCTTGCATTTGATGGGAAGAAAGGCATTTGATGGGTAAGGTATTGGAAGGGGAAGTTAAGGTGGGTTGTGGTTTTTGGGTTGGTGAAGGGTTTGGTGGTTTATTGTGAGGGTTAAGGTTTGTGGACGAGGAATAAGAGGATGAATGGTAGGGTTTAGGGCGAATATATTTCAATTTGTCCTTAATCAACTTAGCAAGACCAATAACCTGGAAAACGGTTTGGAGTTTCAAAATCGTTATTTCTTTTTGGATTTCAAGAATAAGACCCGAAATAAAGCAATTATGAATGGAAACAAGATCTAAACCTACCACTTGATTATTTAATTTTTCAAAGGCAGTTTGGTATTCAATGACAATACCTTATTGTTTCAAGTAACTTAAGCAGTGCAACCTGATGATTTTTATACGATGAAGGCTCGAAGCGTGTTTCTAAAGATTTATTGAAAGATAACCAATCACCCAATTGATGATTAAAATACATCCATTTAAACTAGCTTAGGACATCCCCCCATATATAAAATGCAACTATAGGCATGAGTTGTTCCCATGGTATCTGATAAATCAAAAAGTATTGATCAGCCTGAAATAGCCAATCGAGTGGATCAAGGCCCTCAAAGGTAGCCAACTATAGCTTGGGAGGTCAAATCTGGGTTGGTGATGTGGAATATGGAGGATGGTACAGGTTAGGCAAAGTAGTGTAAAGGGTATTATGCAATGAAGATGAAGGGGGCATGGTGGATGTGGTGGCTAGGTCGTTGGATAGAAAAGGTGGAGGAAATGGTGATTGAGTTGAAATAGGTTGCGAAAAACAGAAGGAATAGGAGCGATAGTATTAATTGGTGAGGTGAAAACAGGTGATACGAAAGGACAAGTGAATGGAGGTGTAGTTGAAAATGGTGGAGTGGGAATTGTTGTGTAAGGGTTGGTATGCGAGATTGGTGGGGAAAAACGTTCCAAAATGGAGGCCATCAATATGATGAGAGAATCATGACGAAATTCATGTGTTTTTGTTGTACAATCAATTGGGACTGAAGGTTGTTGAGCATTTCCGTGAGGGCCAAAATAGCTTCATTAGAGGGTCTAGATTCCATGTCTTTCCAGGGAGGCATGAAGAAGCACAATGAAAGCACCAATGATAAAAAATAAAATAATAAGAACTAGGACTACACAAGTATTAACTAAGACAAGATAAGCTAATTCAGGAAAAATGTTCTTCCTTCATTCAATTCAAAAAAATATATTTATAGTTCCATACAAAAATCTAATGGACTATATCCATACACATAGGAACATAAATTCGGCCATTGGACTAGATAAAGCCCTTCATCAATAATAGTGCATTTGGGTTAGGGCCAGTTTTGCATATTCATAACTCTATCACCAACATTGTAAGTGTCATTATCTAGTTTTAGACAATTAAAATAAAACTAAATAAAATTACAAATAATATTTCAATTTTCTAATATTTTAACTTCATAATACAAAATCCTTAAGCAATTTAATTTTCTTTAAACTAAATAAGGCCTTATAGCCTATATGGCGGTTAGCCTGTCCGCTGGGCTCATCTTTTGTCGTCTGTTGTTTCAAAGTTACTCCTTTCGAATACGATCAACATTTTTTATCCGTAAAAATTTAATAATAAGAAGAAGATTTAAATTTAGGAGCTCACATATATTACTTTAACTTCTTACCACTAGGTTAATCTAGTGTTTGAAAAATTTTACTTCCAAAATATATTAATACTTGCAGAAATATAATTTGGGTATCAAAATCAAATTTTTGAAAGAGTACTAAATACACTAAGCATAAAAAAAGGTACTTTTTGCCGGCGTATTATGTTTTTTTTTTTAAAATCTATTCCAATAATCTAATAATAAAAGGGATTTCACTTTTTGTTGTCCACAATTTGATATTCTATTTTATCCTTTACTTAACTATCAACAATAGCTGTACAAAAGTTAGTCATTAATTAATCATTAAAAAAAATGTCTTTTATTCTCTTGAAGGCACCGGTACTTTTTATCCTACTAGTAAAAGATAAAAATAACTAAAATTAAATATGAATAGATGGTTACTAAGTAGAGAATTCTGACTTCTAGAAAATTTAGGATTGTTATAACAACATATAAAGAGATACTTCTTTTAATGTTTATTTTTTTTTAAACAATTATTCTCTTATGTCGTATTTTATTTTTATTTTACTAATATATATTTAAGGATAAAATATAATATATATATATATATATAAAATAAACTATCATCTTTAAAAATAATAACTATTCATTGGATAGTTAATATTTCTTTGATTGGCAATTGGGTTGAGATTTTGCGAGCAAAATACCTTCATATGGTACTTCTATTTTGCAAGCTGCTAAACGGAAGAATACTTCATACCGTCTTACGTGTGACTTAGCATTGTGACAAGTAGTTCATCATTTTAATTTGATGATTGGTCCCTTTGTAGTGAAGTACCATTTGCGTTACATGCAGTGGAAAGGATATTGGATATATTTTGTAATGTTGCTTCTTTAGCTTTGGAAGTTACCCAAAGAAAGAAATAAAAAAGAATAAAAACTAAACAATAAAAAAAAGTATATATGGAAGAAAAATAAGGCTTTGAAAGTTATAGCAAGAAAATGGTCTAAAAAATTATACATTAAAAAGATATATTGTGTATATTGATACTAACTTAAAAGAGATATTTTGTGTCTCTTCTTATTTTATTTAAAATAAAAGATAAAAATAATTGAAGTTAAATATGAACAAGAAGCAATCCCAAGCGTGTGGTTCAGCGATAGGGGTTGATCCACGCTTAAGTAAGGTCAGGGATTCGAATCCTGCCTTGTGTATGCAGCCACGTTAAATCTTGGGGCCAGCTATCCCATCCTTTGAGGTGCCTCCACCGTAGCGAGGAGATTAGCGGCCAGTTATCCCACCCTTTGAGGTACTTCCACCGTAGCGAGGAGATTAGTCGCCGCTATCGGCGATGGATACTCCAGAAACGAACAAAAAAAAAATATGAACAAGAAGTAAAAGGTGCGTTCAGGTCAGCCTGTCCTTTTGATTTTATTTATTTATTTATTTATTTTTCGAGGTTACTCTTATGTCATTTAAGATTATGACTGGCTAAATAATGTCACAGAAGCAATAATGCTCTTTCTTAGAAACTGGATCTCATCTATTGATAAAAATGTAGATAATTGTGAAACTTCTCTCCATGAAATTATTACATACAGCAGAAGTAGATAAGAAGTTTCCATCTCCCAAGATGATGCATAAGCTGATGAATCTCAATATTTTTTATGAAGTGGACTCTGTAGAATGAAATTGTCTTTCTGAACCAAACTTTAAATCAAATTCCATTTTGTTGCATAAAAAATGTGTACTTGTATTGTTGGCACTTGGCAGTCATCACATGAAATGTTACTCTGGCTCAACAGGAGTTTGTGAAATGGTCACTCTTGATAATGATGGCCGCAGGAGAAGGTATAAACTGGGCCCTAAAAATGGTATTAATGATATGGGAAGAAGCCAAGAACCTTTGTCAAACCTGCACATTGGAATAGCATATAAAATATATACTAGATTGTCTTTTATATAACTAGGGCTAGGATCTGTATGTAAATATTGAAACAATAACTTATATATGACAAGGAACGTACCATTTTCGGGCAGTCATATCGTTGTAAACCCAGAATGGTGCAAACGTGGAAAGTATAGTAAAATCAATGGACGTAATATGGATCTACAAAATGAAAACCCAGTTTTAGCACCAAGCTTACGTTTGGTGGAGGTGATTTGACAGGGAGGGAATGAATTATAGTGGATTAGAGTCAATTTGAAGAAAAACATTTGAATTTGGTAGAAGGTATTTTAGGAGAATTGTGAGGAATTAGAAGTGGATTCTACATTATTTTTTATACCCTCTTCATTAAGGGGATTCTTGTGGAATTTGAGAAATGTGTAAAATTACAACATGAAAAAAATAATAATTCAAACTATATTATAAAGTGAGGGTAAAATAGTAATTGTAAATATCAATTTCATTCTATTTCTCACCTAATTCTAGTCTATCAAACAACTACAAATTTCACCCTATTTCACTCTATTTCTTACCTATTTCCTATCAAATTAATTCTCACTTATTCTCTCTTATTCCCTTAGATTCCTCTCCCTCCTCCAAACAAAGAATTAAAGAGTATTGCCCGTTTCCTATTTTATGAAGAATGGATAAGTGTAAACTATGAAAATGAGAGTGAAAGAACATCTGAACATGTATTCTAATTTAACCACAAATTTGGCCTAGTTACTAGATTCCAGTAGACTTGCAATTCTTGACTTAACATTAGCAAAGATCAGCATGGCAAGATAGGAAAAGTCTTGTATAATGAATACATTGAATATTCATGCCAACTTCTTGAAATGTTGAGTATGAACTTACAAGTTTGCTTTCCCTGAAGTACTGGTAAAATTCTTTCCACACATCTTGTCCAGCTAGACCGGCATAAGTTATGAGGGCTACCCCTGCAGCAAGTGATATCTGATGTGCAAGCAAAGTAAGTTACTCCAATAAAATGAAATAAAAAATAAAGAGTTTAGTTTGAGTTTTTCTTTTGAGTATAATAAATTTCTCAACAGAAAAATGTTCACTTTTTTTTAACCATGCTATACAATAGTCAATAGGATTCTTCCCATGAGATCTTTCATAATAAGGGCAAGCTGACAGCATGTCTAGGAAGGGAAGTCTTTCAATAAGGATTAATACGTGCTAAAGGAAAACTCTTGGATTCAGGGGCTTTTAGAAATTATTCTAATCAATTAAGATTGAACTTAGTTCAGTTCCACTATGAATATGATTTGTTGCATTCATAGCTTCATATACTGCTTTTATTGACTGGGTACATTCAAGAATAAAAATAATGGGAAGAGAAAACATAAAGTTTCAGAAAAGGATTGACTCCATCTAATATTAAGGTTAAAAAGTCTTTTACATGAAAACCTTTCAAAATATTTATATTTGCTTTTACTACGCACAATACTACATAATATAGGACTATTATGTGAGATTTGCAGGTAGTGCGTGTTGGTTTATGACATACAATTATGATAGTATCATTCAGAACACTATAAATGCAACCTTTGCCATTGCATTTGTTAATCATTTTTTAACTCAAATATATACTGTATTAGGATAAAGTAATTAATTCTATATATAAAAAAAAAAGATAAATTAATTAATTGATTGTCATTCAGAGTCAACAGACTCGAAGAAAGAGCAAAGCTGAAATACGGATGCTTTGCTGCAGCAATTGGACTATGGTTAAGCAAATTGAATTTACCAGAAAGAATAAAAGACATGATGATTTAATAATATTTTAATGTTTTCTCCAAAAATAAGCATGATACGATGGGGTGTGTTTTCTTAGGCATTAACCTAAGAAAAATCACCTAATCATGGAATTATTATTTAGGTTACTATGATTTCTCTGCAACAGCTTTGTAAGGTTGAGAAGAGCATTACCGCTGCAGTTACTTTTGATTCCAGAAAATTCAAAGGCCATGTTTTAAGTTGAGTTTCTTCAATAGGAGGTGCTGGTGGATTCCAAAGTACAAAATAAGGAAGAAGTGCATATGCTCCTCCAAAAAATGAGAGTATCAGGAAGGGCCACACAGGAATATTGGTTTTTGAGCTGTAGCATGACAAATGGAAGATATGAAATCAGCTTCAGGCATGTCAAATAGGACAATAATACATATGAAAATACAAAATCATTCATTCTCCATATCATATGTAACACATGGCAGCTTGCAAATTTCTTCAAATGACAGTCAAAGCAGTAATGTAATTAACATAGCAGTAATGTGGAAATAAAATAGCAGAGACGGGTATGTAATTTGAAATTACTATTCTATCAAATAAGTCTTTTTGACTGATGTTCACAAAGCACAAAGGAGGTGAGAGTTCATCTTGAAACTGAGGGTATCAGGGAATACGATAGAACTTCAGAGTATAGAGGTTAAAGCTGTATTTATCCTGAAAGAAAACTCTATTATGATTTCAGGTCCGAATGTTAAATCACGGATTTCAGGTCATCAGTGTTTATGTTTTGATTGTTTGCCACAAGGGAGGGAGGCAAGGCTTAAAGAAATGTATATTTACAAGTTAATTCAAAAACTAGTTCTTATTAGAATATTATGATTCATGATTACAATTTGACTATTCAATGTAATTCGGCTAGCTAACATTTGTATCCTATATGATGAATCTCAAATGACCCTGAATCTTTTGATTCATGAATGAATCAGTGTGATTTCCTATCATTTATACGAATCACACAATTCAACGATTTTCCATTTTTTTCTTTTTTTATTTTACTTTTCTTTCACCTACTCTTGTGAAAGACACTAAAATGTCACAAGCTTAAATTGTTAAATGAAAAGGAATTGAAGGAGTACTACTGAACTTATCTAAATGCATGCAATCTATTTGGTTATTCCATTGCTCTGTTTTCATTATTCCAAATTACTGAAGATAGAGGCTTCACATACTCAGTTATGACTTATAGTTGTGTTTTGAGATACTGAAGATACAGGCTTCACATACTCGGTTATGACATAATTGTGTTTTGAGACATTTATGGTTAAGTTGTTCTATTTCTAGTTTAAAATTATTATATTGAGCAATATACATCATTTATATAATATAATTTAAGCTATTTTTATTCTCATTGAATCCAATGATTTGATACACCTTACGCTTAATGATTTGAATCTCGATTTGATAACCTTGATTCAAAATATTGACTCAAAGAAATAGTGCATTAAAGACTACCCCGATTATTGACCATCATTGACCATCCGAATTTTCACAAAAGCAAGTAATCTTAGATGCATGGCAAAGATGATAGATATGCAATCATTGATGAATCTCCACCTAATAACAGGCTTTTAGGAAATATTATCCTTGACAGAGTCCCCAACAGCTTACCATGTCAAGGAAAACTCACCTAAAAGCAAGCTAGTGGGTGGAGGTTTATGAATGATTTGAAATCTGATCAAAGAAACCATAGAGAGAAATGTAAATCAAAGTGAAGTACCTTCTTCCTGTAGGAAGCAGGAGCATGCTATATACCAACGGCCACAAGCCCATTATATACCACAATGATACTAGTACTTCATTCATTCTGAAACCATCTTCTCCTATAAGATTCAGGAGCTTTTTCAAGAAATAGAAGTCCCTTGACTGAATGGAAATAAAAAAATTAATCTCACTGATTAAAACAACAGGAAAGGAAAAATAAAGGGAGGGGCGATAGAAACTGCAAAGGGTACTTTAATTGGACCAAAGAGTATGATGAATCCTTAATGATGCTACACAGCATAAGCCTACACAAGCTGATCGAATAATTGAGTTCACCGGTGCAAAAGTAATATGCATTTCATTCTTTTGGAAGCATTAGTGGCTCAATTATGGTCGTTATCAGAATTTTGAAGAACATAATAGCTCCATTTACATTTTCTACTCTGTCAAATAAAGCAGATGCTCCAAACCATGGTTTTAAATTGCACATGCAATGAACCACTGGGGTCGGCATAGTGGTGGGAGGTTGAGATAGTATGCACAAAGTCCTAGATTCAAACCCTGGTGTCATCATTGCAATTCCGATAGACAAAAAAAAAATTGCAATTGCAATTTCAACATGGTCACTGAAATTTCGGAAATGACATTGCAAAACCAATCTCCAAACCAAAGTGACAACAAACAGTGGATACAACCATATTGAAGATCCTAATGTTATTCTCATGATTTAAAACTAGTTTTATTTTTAGTCCATGGACATGGTCCACATAACATCTCAAAACAGACAATCAAGGATTAATCTGCGCTTTTGGTAGCCAAGCATTATCACCATCAAACAATTAGAAATCACACTAAACATGATTTTCAAAGTAATTATTATAAATGTCAGCAATCTTATCATACATAACTAATCTATGATTTGAAGACAACGTGTCAGTGTTTTCTAATCGGACAAAACTTATATAAGGTACATAGTAGTTGTCCAATTAGAATTCGAGTTTCATCTTGATAATATATATATAATAAATTATTCCATTAAATGTTAACTTGTATACCGAGATAAAACTTCAATTCTGGTTAGAAAACAGCTCGATCTAAAGGTATGTTTGGTTTCAAATCAAATATGTCCAGAATCAATTCCATTTCATCCAAAATGACCAGAGTTAAGTTTGTCGCATGTTTGACTATTAGTAAAATTGATTTCAAGATGTGAAAATTCACATTCACTTGAAAGCAATTGTTATTAGTTTCTCCATCAAACAAAATCAATTTTAGGTTTTATCTACCAAGATTTATAATTACATACTCAAAATCAAAATCAGTTTTGATAACAAATTTCCAAACAACACTCAATATGAAAATTAAGTCCGTATCTATCACGTTACTTTAACTTCCTTTTACTCAAAATCAATTCCGCAAATTCAAGTTGATCTCAAATCAATTACATTAATGCATATCCAAACACGTCGGAGAATCTAACCTACAAGACTAGTCTATCAGATAGATGAGTCTCATGTCCTAGTCACTTAAACACCAAACTATACTTCTTATTTTACTCGATATGGGACTTGTAACACTGACGAATTCATATGCATCCAGTAATAGCACATTGTATAGTCAGAAGGCATAGTTAGGGACATACCGGGGTCTGATTTGGGGTGAGAAAGAAAACATAGTAAATGAGTGCAGCCCACAAGAGAAAGAGCAAAATGGAGGTTGTCCAGTCTCTTCCATTGCCATTGCCACTGCCATTGCTACCAACTTGGCTCTCTTTCTTCAAACTATGGCAAATAAAATGCTTTCTGTGAAACGCAGCCAAAGGGGCTCTGGTTTTCACATCAAGTGGTTTAACGAAGCAAGCGTTACCCGTGGATGCTATTGGTGAAACTCTGATTGGAGGGTTGTGGCGTTGAAGTGAGGTTCTCAACTTGTTATTGAGAGTGGGAAAGTTGCGAGAGATGCAAATGGGTTGAGCTAGCAGCATAGTCAAAATGGGTGATGATGATGCTGCTATGCTATTGCTTTTGTTATGGCTATTCCGATTTCCACATCTATTTTTCCTTTGGATAAACCCAAGAACATACACACATGTTGTTTCATGGATTAGAGTTAAACGTAACATCCCTCAACTTGTCATTATTTTAATTCGTGATTAATTCCGAAAATATTATTTTAACCGGTTAAAAAAAGACACTTTGTCTCTTACTAGTGTTTTTGTAGGATTGAAGTTATAATAGGATTATGTTAGCCGTTTATTTTTAAAAAAAAATTATTTAAATTAATTAAGTAAATTTTTGAGTTATCATCTACTTAAAAAAAGAATTGTATAGTTATTATAATAAATAAATGGTAAAACGTTTAAATTATTTTTATATATTGTTATAGATTATAAAGTTTAATTTATATAAATTGTTATTATAAATAACGTGTTTTGGAGAGGAGTTTGTTTGAATTTAAGAAAAAATTGAATTTCAAATTAATTAATTCAATTTAGCTCAAATTTTAGAATTCTTTTTTGAAACTTGAACTAAACCGGGTAATGAACGTATTGATTTAATTTACATTATTAGATAGTCAATAAAAAATTAATATAAAAGTTTGTTTTGAAAAAATTTTAAGATATTAGTTTTGTCTCAAATTTGACGGATAATTACATGTGAATAATTGACTAAAATATACTACGCTGTCTATGATAATATGAAAAGAAAATAAAATAAAAAAGTAAAACAAATTTTTTTGATACAAATAAAAGTGTGTTGGCTAAATTGTACATTTGGTTCCTTTATTTGTGTTAATTAATAATTTTAATTCCTGTATTTTAAAATATAAATATTTAATCCTTTATTTTTTGAAATACAAAATGTTGGTTCTATTCCTAGTTTGATAATTATTAATTGTTAAATTTTGATATTATTCAGGTACCTATTACTTCTTAAATGATTTGATATTTAGTGATATGACATGTAAAGATAAAAATAACATACAAAAAAAATATTATTTGTATATATCTTGACAAATGATTGATATTTTTTTTATTAATAAATCTTATTTGCATGTTTTTTTTTATTTTTATCTCTAAATGTGAAAATTTTTTAAAATTATATAAAATTAAGAATTAAGCCAACTAAAACAAAATACAACCAATTTATCAATATTACACACTCATAATGGTCAACTAAGCCCAATATAATACACAAATGAATGTCTTAAATATGTTCTATCAAGGAACCCCTATTTATAGGGGCGAAGCCCATAAAGGCCCAACCCAATGACTATTGAAAATCGTTGGATCTTCCAAACAAAATGTCCTTCCATTAAGACAGAAGATGAAGAGACATTTGCTAACCCACCCAACATGAGTCCCAAGAAAATGCCAAATTCAATCCCCTTCGTCTTACCTCCTAGGGGCTTGGGGGCCAAGTATACTAGATATAATACCCAAACATTGGATACTTGGTATCCTTGGATAATGACATTTCCAATCCCACAATAGATTGAACATTCCACACATATTTAGTGTTGTTCGACAAGTCGAATATCCTTCAAAACATATTCAACCTTCCGATAAAGTGAATGTTCATCAAACTTATTTGGCCTCCCAACTAGTTGAATATTCCTTAAAACATATTTGGTCTTTCAATAGGCCAAAAATACATTTGACCTCTCAAAAAGGTTGAATACTCCTCAAAATCTATTCAACCTCCAAACAAGTTGAATGCTCCTTAAAACATCTTTGATCTCCAAACAAGCTGAAAACCCCTCCACATGTGGCCAACCTTCTAGTAGGTGGAAAACACCATCTCTTTTTGGTTACCATATAAAGATTACTTTGCCTAAATATGTAAGTCATAATCTAGGTCAAACTATCTAATTGGTAATTATATGCGAGACCTAAAATCTCATATACCCAATGAGATATATGTATTAATAAGAGGCAAAATTGATAATAAGTACTATTTATTATCATACCATTCACTCATTTATTATGCATTTATTACTTTATACTAAATCTTTACTTGAGTATCATAACATCTTTATACTTCATCTTTTAGAGATTCTAAGTGTCTTTATACTTCATTCTTTTGGGATTCTAAGTTACATGTTATCGACAAAGAAGACCAAAAAGATAGAATGATGAGTTAATGGTGTATCCCAAATTGGTATCTAAAAAGTATAAATTTTGTTCATGATTTTATGACCAACAGTTAAATGAATAAAATTGTATTAGTTAATAAATTTTTATCATAATTGTGTACTTTTTAATAAAATTTGATTGAAATAAAAGAATGTCTTAGGATATAAAAGTGATTGTATAAATGAGTTTCATAATTATATATATATATATATATATTCTTAATATTCTACTTTAATATGTTTTCTTTTCTTATGTACAACAGTTGTGCGATTTTAATCATTTAAATATTATAATTATACAATTTTTTATATATTAAATTTACATATATTACTACTTTTAGTAATAATAAACATATATCATCTAGCACATGAATAAAAATTATAGTATATGTAATTTAAATAAGTTAAAATTTAGAGAAATTCTATGATACCCTTAAAAATTTAAAGGATTTTAAAAATGCTTTTATTTATAATAAAAAATTTGTGAACATTTGATGTTTTAGAGTAATTTAATTATATTTATTATTTTCTTAAAATTCTTAATATATATTGTACCGTCACGGTCCACATCCGATACAATTCGTAAGAAGATGATCGAGACCCCTTTTATCATCGTCATGTGGTGGTACTCGGCAAAAGACCGACCTGATTCCACCACAAGGGTGAACCCAATCAGAATCTGACCCGACCCTCTCATGAGAATGGTCTCGGCAAAAGTCTGACCTTATCGGGTCACGTGGTTGAGCTCGGCCAGAGTGACCTCGGTCATGCAAAGCTCGGCCTGGGTGATCTCGGCTAGGAACCGAGTGAGTCTTACCTCTCGCCTTGGAAGTGAACCGCGTGAGATATCTCGGTTTATTTCCGATATAAACCATAGGAGCAATGGCTTAAGCCTTTTTAGCCTTATAGGCTCAGAGCTGGAAGGCAAGTGTACCGTCCAGGTCGGAATCCGACCTAACTTCTCTACATGGGACAGGTCGGCTATAATCTAAGCCGACCCCCTCTCTAGGGGTTCACTCGGTCAATATCCGACCTGACTTCTCTACATAAGCCAGGTCGGTCATAATTCGATCCCACTCGTCTATAAGAGCCTACTCGGCCAAGACCCGACTGACCCTCTTTATTTGGGTCTGATAGGTCAGGGGCCGATCTTACTTCCCCATATAGAAGCTATCCGATGACAAAGGCAAATTCCCACCTTCGTTTACCAAGTATCTTCCAGATAAGAACGGTTAAGGAAATCCCCACATTCTTGGGGTCCATGAGGTCCATGAACAAGAAATTATAAGACCTAGGGTTTGGGAGGGCAAATTACACTTTTGAATGCTCTGGCTCGGAAGCTTGATTTAGGAAGAAACCATAGTCCACCCTTTGACCGGAACACACATATATATATAGA